AATCTAATAATTCCAATCCTAAAAGTTGTCGTAAAAATTGTGGGTTATATTATTGAATAAAAGAGGATCATCATATACTACGAGTATGACTCTTTATATAAATTATTACAAATTTAAGATGAAATGTTGCAAAAACTGATAGTCAATGCTCGTCATATATAAAAGTTATTTAAAATGAAATATTTTAAATGAAATATTTTTTTAAATTAAACAGTAATTATAAAATTTCGAATGAAATAGCTTTTACTAAAATCAATCAAAAAATATTTAATAGTCTTTAGTCATCCGATAAAAGTGGATAATGTCAAAGTATTTGCCGGTTTTGATTTTATTTGCTGCAAATATTGTTCAAACTGTTTGTATAAATATATTTATTATGAAATTTATTTAGTTTAGATTTCATATGTTTTAAATATATCTATGTGTAATCTGTATAGCGAAAGGTGATGAACATCACCCAACTGATATGCAATGCTTTGGACACGAATTTCAGTACCATTACTTGCCAACTCTCTTACGTTAATCGCAAAGCGGAGATAAGCGTTTATGGAAGGATGCTTAAACTACCGATTGATACCTGCAAGGTTTGAAATGGATGAAACATTTTTTATATAAATTTTTACTTATGTGAATTACTTTAAAATTGTCAGGTAAATATGAAATTGACAATGCTGAATGGTAAGAAGACCGGCTTAGTTTTCAAAAGTAATTTTGATCTATGCGAATTTATGAAAAATAGGGAATCGAATCGTATTATGAATTTAATCTACACACTTCTGGGATATAATGACTACAGTAATATGAATCACACCTGCCCTTATAATGTAAAACGTTTTTGAAATTGTTTACAAATGCCTTTAAATAGTCACATATTTGTATTATTTTAGAATGATTTGATACTTAACAAATTTAAATTCAATGAAAAACACTTTAATTTGCTACCAGTGCCTATGGGACAATATTCTTCTGAACAATTGTGGAATATAAACGGATCACCCAGAATCAAAATCATATTTACTTTTGAATTTTATGAAACTAATGTAAGAGAAAAATAAGGTTCCGGAAATTTATTTAATAAACGCATTTATTACGAATTGCTAATAAGTAAATTGTATTTATTAAGTATTAAAATTTATATTTAAAACAGTACAGATTTTATGTTGGTGTAAACGATAATTAATAGAATTAAATTTATTGAATATATTAATAAAATTATTTTTAAGTAAAAAGGGGTTAAGAAGATTAGATGAGATTAGAGTGATAGGATTAGGCAACTAAATTCACTCGAGCACAAATAATATCCACTTGTGATAGCATAGACGACCTTAAGTAGCAAACATTAAGTACCTATGCATCTTGCGCAGACAGAGTGTATCTTAGAGAAGCTGATTTTTTACATTCCAGTAAAACGAAGTTAACCCGAAAACTCTATGTTCCTAATTATAAATGATAGGTCTGTAAAGTCAGTAAGAAAAGGGGTTCTAATTAATTTGTATTATCTTCTAGCCAATGATGGAGTCTGTATATATAAGATGGACTGCAGTTTGTTCTTTATCCGCAAAGCCAGAACCCCGACAAAGGTTGCTAGAGGATAAACCAAGACTTGTTTTTTCTAATACGTAGTGGTCTACAAGCACTCTTACACTAGTACTGAGTTGCTTTCGCGTTAGCTGAAGTAATAGATACGAATAACGTCCAATTTGGATGAGACGATTATTGTGTTGCGATATGAACTTCCATCACATCAAAATTTTACCTTATTAGCAACATTTTTTAGGACAGAAATTTAAAAAGTTACAAATTTTAACTCCATTAACAAATACTAAAATGATTATTTAATAGCGAATGTTCTAAAAGTCATTTCGTTTTGTTATTAAAATATAATTATGTTTTTAAATAAATTGTGTGATAATATCAGATTCATTTCCTCTCTAATCAATGAATAAGTAAGACTAATGCTTTTGTATAAAATTTATTCATTTCAAAAATAAAAGCCGTATAATGGTGAAGTATCTACCGATTTTGGTTTTATTTGCTGCAAATATTATCGATTCTGTATGTATCAATACTTGCAATGCACTGTAAAAATAATTTACAATATTTTATTAATAACTTAATTATTTAAAGCGAAAACTATTAACTGTTACACAACTGACCTGCAAGAGTATGAACTCAAGTTTTGTTACATTTGCGACATGTCAATATTCTAATATCGATCAAAAACCGGAGGTCAATATTTATGCGAAACTACATCAAGTGCCAGTTGATAATTGCAAGGTTTGGATAGTATTGAAAATCTTTCTATTCACAGTTTATACAGATTTTTTTGTTAAAAGGTAACCTTTAAAGTCAAAATGCATAATGGTGAGAAGACCAATATAATTTTGAAGAATAGTTTCGATGTTTGCGAATTTATGAAGAATAGACAAATAAATCGTGTCGTAAATACAGTTTACACAATTTTGGGATTTGATACTTACAGCAATATAAATCATTCCTGTCCTTATAATGTATGTATTGATTTCAAATTAAATTTAATTAAATTTTATATGTATGTTCTATATACACATATGTTGTATATATAATTAACTTCATTTCAGCATGATATTATTCTTAATAAAGCGCGGTTCGATGAAAAATATATGAACCTAATACCAGTGCCGTTGGGTCAATTTTCCATTGATTGCGAATTATTTGTCAATGAAGTTCGCAGAGCATTGCTGACAATGTCTTTCAAATATCACGAAAAATAAAAAAAACTTATAAACTTGGTTATTTAATTCAATCGGTTCATAAATTATTTACTAAATATAATGACATCAAACCGGAATATATTGTATCTTTTCTGCAAAAACAGTTCATATTGAGCCGTTAACCAAATGTAGTAAATATTTATTCCAACGGAGAAACTATTCATAAAAATGTGTACCCTAAATAAAATTGCGGTTTATCATAGGGGTGATAGGGGTGGCGTAAACTTGCGGGAAGTTTATATCTAATTATAAACTCTACCCACGGGATCAGAATGATTACGGTTGTAGTCACCCATTGCGTGACCGATGGGTAAGTTCTTCTTCAAGATAGATGGCAAGAAATTGGAGGCACTTGTGTCTCGTGGTCTCAAGCAGAATGGTTGGAAGAGTCTACTTAAAGGATGTTGGAAGAATTCCGACCGCGTATGAAATACCTCCTAGCAAGTGAGAACAGATTCTCATCTACTCGAGAGCAGATACCTCAGCAGAATTCAAGACGAAAGAATTGCGGTGGTGTTTTTGACATGTTTTATGTTGATAGTTCGAATACCCGGATCAGTTCCATTCGGATAAGTTGCTTATAGAAAAGTACTTTAACTTCGGCTGCGAAAGTATTGATGAAGATGAAGTCTAGTACTGGCCTCTGAGGGACAACGGCAGTGATGAGGTATTCGCTAGAAACGGATGAACCAATTATGACAACGAAGGGCCTATTGCTGACAGTTTATGGTCCAAGCCTTCAGTCCACACAGTGTCAAATGTATTTTCAACACCAACGCTATGGCGACAGTAGCAGATGGTGCAAGATATTCCACATTAAAATTAGTTCTGATAAGAGCTATAAACTGTTTAAAATACAAAATTCAGTTTCGCAGTTAGGCGGTGTTTAGAACACGTTTGATGTGGAATGAGTATGTGATACATATGTATATGATTTCATAAAAAAATTAGTGATAATTGTTGAAATCTTATATAGTCAAATTTTGAACCTTGGTATACATGATTGCTGCACTTGACAAATCTATAGTCTCCCGTAAGAGCAATTTTCTGTTTTTACTGAAGCACACTATTCTTGTGTGATAAGGCTGTGGTGTTCTGGAAATTTAGCTTCCATAATTAGTTCGAGTAGTCCAATATTTTCCGTATGATATAAAGTATGCTCAAAGTACCTTCTTTTTTGCCATTTATTCAATTTTAATATATCTTTTTCTTCATTCCTAAGTAAAAGCATTAATGAATTTGTGTTGACTCAGCCCAATGAATTCTGAGTACAATCTGAGCCATATCATCACAATTCAAATGATACAAGTCTATTCATCAAATCAACAGACATAATCCGCACTTCTAGTCTGTATTGAATATTGTATTTATATTTTAATTGTGGTCAATTATTGTATAGTAGAACTATTAAGTATTATTGGTTTAATCCATTAAATATATAATAAATTTAAAAATGTATTTTAATTTTGTTATTTTATTTTATTTATGACTAATGTATAAATTAATTATTTATATTGGATTTTTTTTTAAATCTTATTGCATATTTATTTTTTGTAAATAAATATTTTTTACAAAATATACATCGAATAATTATTTTATTCCAAAAACAGGTATGGTATAAAAATATTATATGAAACACTTTAATTTTATATTAAACTTCATTATTTAAAATTATTGTTTTTGCATTAACTTAATTTAATTTAATTCTTATAATAAATATTAATTATTTAAATATCGTCACAAAACTTACATAAAATTTTTAATAAATCTTTAGAGTAGTTGAACCTTATTGCTTTCGTTATTTTGTTTTATTTTTAATAGGATATGCAGTTTTTGTTTGAAACAATTTTCATAAATACTGTGGAATAATTGCGTATTTCAATTTTTGTTTATTTAAAAGAAATAATTCTAAGACAATTATTAACATTTATTTGCATATACAATGTATAAAAATATTATAGTCTTATCCTGATATATAACTACTCTGAGAAATCTATTATTAATTAACTTATCATTGGCATTCGGTAAGCAGATTTTGTTTATTCTTAAATTGACCTTAGTTGTTTAAATTAACGTTCTAAAATTTAAATTTAATTCTTAATATATTTGTTGAAAAATTTTGTAATTAAATTGTATTTTTAATTAATTTTAATTGACAGTAATCAAAGCATATACAGTGGCTGCCTTAGTTTCTGTATAACCAAAATGGTTTACCATAAAATTAATTAGTTTGCTGTTATATTTTTCATGTTTGCTAAATTGAAACCCTTCATTAATACTGTCATTGTCTTATACTCCACCTTTTTATTGTTTCGGATAAATTTGACTGGAAGCCATATGAGTTGCTGCCTCTTTAGTGGCATTCGTACAAAACAATCTGTTACGTCGGAATTTGTGTTTATAAATTTCATTCATCGTCTGCTTTGTGCAGTTGCTTCATTAAACGTTAATTAAAGCCCTTCGATGCAACTGGACCGCCAATGGTTTACATTGGCCTAAAGCGTACACAATACATCACGATATGATGCAATTTTTATCTTTATCCGCCATGTCGGCTGATTTTCGTTTGCGATCATACGCCAAAGCATCGTTTGGCACATAACTGACGCGCACACCGCCGTAATGACGTCGTTGCGGTAATTGGTACATGATCATGTAGTCCTCCGAGCTGGATGAACTGGATGAGCAAGTTGAGCAAACGCTCGAGGCATCCTCTGATTCATCATCTGTGCGATGTTTTCTTTTTGTTGCATCTGCGGTGGCTGTGTGCAGCATTGAAGGCGGTCCTTGATATGAAGAGGATAAAGGTTGAGCCGGCGCATAAGTGTCTGCACGCGTAGTTGAATGTGTACGATGACTACTTGAACGATGACCTGAGGATTTTTTGCGACGACGGCGACGTGATGAGTGTCCGCTACCGTGTCCGCTACCGTGTCGGCTATCAACGCTACTGGTAGCAACGCCCGCGCTACTGTTATTCGTTCCAGCGCCATTGCCAGAGTAACTTCGTGAGCGTGGTAATGTGTCTGGTATACCCTCAAATCGCACACCTTTCTTTTTGGTTTCCCCTCCCGTTGCGCCACCACTCATAGGTGATGAGGACGAAGCACCGCTAAGTATGGATACAGGATGATTTGGTGGCTGTGTAAGAGAGGCGGATTGTGTGGATTGTGGTGAAGTGATTGAACGATCACCAGCTGAAGCTGTTGGTGAACCCATAAGCTCCGGTGGTAATGCAGTTGAGGCAACTGATAGATTTGGTGTAGGTAATTCTGCGACTTCGGAGGGGGGTGGAGATATTATATTGTCGTTAAATTCAGTTAGATGTGAAAATTGCTGAGAGCTCGACTGACCATGCCTATTATCTACTGAGTTTGTCGGTAAGTGCTTCGTTGTTTTACTGGTGAGCTCGGGCATGCTTGAGGTAATTGAATTGTCCATTTTTGTTACATGCTGCATTTGACGCTGTAAGTTGTAATTGTTGGCATCAATGTGTGGTGGTTTTGCAGGCCAGGCTGCATCTAGATTTAGGGACATTTCATTAAAATTGTATGGTGAGTCTTGTTTTAGCTCCATTGGCTTGGGCATCAAATGTGTATATTCACCCGGCGAAGTAAGTGGAGACATATTTTGTGAGGAACTCGAGGGTCCACCACCGGAAAAATCTGTAAAATCTGCTGTGCCCTGTTCAATATCTTTGACAACACCACCGTCAGAATCTGAAGTGGGATAACTTTGTTTGTTATTTTCTAAACGTGTTATATCATCTGCAATGCCAACTAAACCAACTCCAATGCCGGCGGCGATTTGTTGACTTTGCAGTTGATACATAGCTTGGTTAAAGTTTTGTTGATGCTGCTGCTGTTGCAGTGGAGACATTGGTGGTGAACTAGAACCATGACTGCTAGGAATGCGTGTCTGTGGACGTACACGTTGTGTGGGTGGTGTCGGGGTAGTGTACATACCGGTGCCTGAACTATCTGATGGCGTAGGCGGCTCTCCTTTACTGCAAGCAATCGAACAGTAGATAGCGCCACGTCGTGGCAGAAATGCGCGTCCCAACAACGAACAACGACACGTATTACACGCAAAGCATTCATCAGTGGCATGCCAGTGTTGCCCGTCGTGACTCATTTGTCCTTGATCCACTCCAATCGCTTCGCCACAATAGTCGCAGTATTCTGCAAACATAGCATCAAAGCAGAGCAGACAATAAGGTTTGCCCTCACGCATAATATATCTTTGGCCGCCCAATTGCTTTTCACACTCGTTGCAAGCGAAGTGGTTCATATGCCAAGCACGTCCTTCGGCTTCCGTACATTCATCAGCCAGTATAATCTACAAGAGAAAGAAAATCATGAACTTAAAGTTGTTGGAAAAGTTTTACAAGTAAAATTTGTTATTATTAGAGAAAAGTTGCCTGTGTACTTAAAAGCTATCAAAGGTGTTCTGTGGTTAAAACTTTCGTAAACTTTTGCAACCGCAAGACAAAATCACAAAACATGATACGGATTTTGATATTTTGATCAAATTATATCAAGAAATACTACTCATATTGTATTAGTATTCTAATGCGATTAGTATTTCAAGAGTTAGAATTGAGAAGATTTGAAGTAAAGTTCAAGAATTTGTTAAATTTATAAATAGTTTAATTCTTGAAAATAGTTTTTTTATGAAAGTAATTAGTTGAATGGTGAGTGCAGTTTTGCAAGTTGTTATTAACTTTTATTAATTACTTAGACAAATGCACTTGAATTGTTCATTTCAATTAATGTAACAATCTGTTTAAATTAAAAATAATTCTGACAACTTACTTCATCACAAGCGGAACATCTTGGTTTGAGTGTCTCTGCATGATGTCGTCCACAATACAAACGCCCATCGCGATGGAAGTATATGAGATCAACAAGCAACTCATGGCACACGCAACATAAAAAACAACCCGGATGCCAAGATGTATTCGGTCCGAGGCGTGTTGCGAAGACTGCAATGTCGCCGGTGGAAATTAATTCGTCGCACTGTAATTAGATTAAAAGTATAGACAAGATACCAAAAGTAATAAAAAATTTATAACTATAATTCCTATCAAAAGAGAAAGCAACAACAAAAGTGTTTTCGACACATGCCCACTTAAGGCCTGAGATTGATTTTGAAATTCTTGCAGTTAAGCTGCAATTTGTTAGATGAAGTTGGATGAAGATCATAAGCACAGCTGAGCTTATCTATATAAGTTGTGGTGTGGCTGCTAAAACTGTTAAGTAATCAAAAACTAGCTGGCGTTATAATTGATTTAAGCAAGTTTCCTTATTAATTAGTTAAAAATATTTAGCTCCACTTTTCTTGTTCAAATATATTAAGATAGTTCAATTACCAACTCGAACTGAATACAGATGAATAATTACGTGTTAATTTGATAATGACTTACTAAGACTGCATTTCTGAGTAGATACATTACTTTCTATTAAAGAAGTTATTGAAATCAATCAACAAAAGTTGTGTACGTAAATTATTAAGCAGGAAATTGTTAGAAAGCTAATCCAAAGAATTTAAAAATTGGGATTAAAGCTTTAAAGAAAATAACTGAAAATAATTTATTTTGTTCAATCTCTTTTTAATAATATTGTAAAATTATACACAGATATATAAAATACTAACATAACTTTAAACATCATCAAAGCTTATAGCTGATGATCTTAACAGGACTTGCTGCATTCTATCACTTTTATTTAGGGACATGTTACGCTGGCGATCAAATAATTAGCGATCGCCATATTTGTTGTTACTTTTAATGTTTATTTAAATATAGAAACCATTGAAATCAGCAACAAATGTGATGATCGATGATTACGTATCGTATTACCTGCGTAACATGATACTTAGAATAACTATGAACGGTAAAGCTAGAAACATATACTTCAAATACAATGTTTGGGAACCGTATTTTAGAGATATATGTCGAACAGAACTGTCAGCATAGTACGGCATCATAAGGCATCATATGTTGATAAATATATATCAATTTAATTTTATATATAATAAATAAAAAAAAAAATTGTACGTTATCGGAAATACGAAATTATTGATTTATGATATAATTATTTGTGGGATGGGCATTGCAGTTTCATCAAACCTTATTTAATTTTTTTAATATTATTTCTTTCTCTTAATGACAAAAAATTTTTCTCCATTATTTAGTCATAAATAATTAAATGCAATTTAAAATACATTAATTTTTAAACTTTTTATAATTAATAGAATATATAAAATTTTTACAGTCTATCAAAAAAAAAAATCTATTGTGTTTTTCAGTTTCGCACTTTGTACTCTTCACTGTTATAGAAGATAGATAGGCGAAGAGTTGACAGAAATGTTCAAGAAGTGATACTTACACCATCACATGGCCGGGCACTCATCAGTTGTCTGACATTTCCACGTCCAAGTGCATCACGTTTGCGTTGCGTTGAAAACAAGCGAAGTTCCTTGCGTTCCTCATCGGTCAATGAGTGACAGTAACGAACCTAAAATGATAGTCAAATGAGTATAAAATAAACCAGAGTTGTTAAATAATAAATAAGAAAAAAATAAACTGAAACAGTTGTTGGATATAAATTTGTATGCATCTTTCCAAGAAACAGCAGAATAAATAAGCAAAATCACAGACAAAAGGGTAACCATTAATAACAAGCGCACCTCTGACTGACTACAGTAATTTTGGCATTGACTATACTTTAGTAACTGAACATTACACAGTTATATTACTATCTAGAGGGTTACCAACTCCAACTACACCTCCGTATCTATTGTCCAATTCGACAGCAATAAGTGGTCAGCTTGTTTTTGTCTATGCAATGTAGAATGTTGTATGCAAATTTTTTTTTGTTAGATTTTTGGGAACATAGATTGTCCAACCGAAACCCAGCTAGATATTAAAGTGTAGCTTTACTGTATACTGTATAGCAGAGTATGTCATTTGCTATTCTTTTGGAGTCGTTGTGGTGGGAGAAAGAATGTTACTTAGTTGACATATTTTACACATGGTATTGTTGGTCTGCCAAGCTCCTGCTGTGCTTGTTTTTCTAAAATGTTTTCCATTTATTGTGGATCATAGTTTCTTGGTTTACGCAGTCGATGTTCGGTTGCTGTTAACATGGCGATTGCGAATAGGAACAAACGTCAATGAAGCCATCTGATGTGGCAACCTTTTTCGTAGTTAAAGTTTCGGTGAACTTATTTGCGGTTAGGAACTTTGTGCATTTGCTTGTGGGAAATTCATTCGAAATGCGTACAAAATTTCAACAATTCATTTGAAAAATTTAAATTCTTTATATGCATAAAAAGTATAACAAACGCTTAACAAATAAAATTTAATTTAAATTTAATGAATTTAAAACAGAAAGAAAGAGAATCTAGTAGTGTATTTAATAATATAAACTGTTTAATTTTTGCGGTTATAGTTTATAGTTTATAGGCGTTTGCAGTAAAAGTTTCTTTCCCAAACGTGGCTACTACATTTCTCTTCTTTTGAGTTATTTTTCCTGTTGTGCTGATCATGATAAGACCCACATTTATATAGGCTCAAGTGCAGCTATTTCAACCATAAACAACTGACGACACTCACCTCATTATCATGTGGCGGAAGTTGATGCAGCAATTGTCGCACTCGATATTGCTCGCCTGGACTGTTTACGTATGGCACTTTGTCATCCGGAATTTGTGAGAAGTACAATCGAACCTGAAATTAAAATAGAAAGATGTGTGAATGCTAATATCGAATAATCTTAAAAGAACAGCTTTAAAAATTGCAAATAATTTGTGATTTATTTGTTGTTCTGAATATATATAAAATTTTTCTTAAACTATCTATATTCTTGACTTATGTTTATCTTGAGACTAGTATTTAATTCTTGGAAAATAGTTCAGCAAGTAAATGCTGCTTAATGTATCTATTTAATGTATATTATTAAGTGTATTATATATATATATATATATATGTATAAATATATATATTTATAAATAAATGCGTATATTTAAGTATATTGATATTCTTAAATACATATTGTTTTTAATATTGTTAACTGACAGTTGTGACTTAACTTAAAAATATTTTATTGAAAGTTGTGTTAAAACAACTTAAATCCTTGTTTTTAAGGGTACTATTAAACGGTAAATTAAAAATAATTAATCAAATAGCAATTGCCTGTTGATGTGAAATTTATTTTAAGTTGAAATAATGCAGTTAGTCAAGCCCGATCAGTTTCAACAGTTGTTCATGTTCATAATCCTCATTGAAGACGACGAGACACTCTTATTTAACATTTTTAAGTATCATCAACGTTCAAAGGCAGTTGCTAAAACCCAATACCGTATAAAACAAAACCTTTGATGCTATTTTGATCAAAGGAATTATCGACTGGTATGTATGCGGCTTAGTCGAGGCAAATGCGGCAAGTGCCAGTCAATGCCGAAAGAATTAAGGAGAGTTTAATAAAACCCAGCAGGTTGTCGTTTTGTTTCAATAAATGTAAAAACAACTCAAAGATGATTTATATTTTATTACCTTTTAATGAAGTGTCATTCAATTAAAAAGATACAAATAAAATAAAAACAAATTTAAAATATATATTGAAAAAAAAAGACTTAAATAAAATGAAGAGCTCATAGAGGATTATTTTTTTGTTCAGATTTAGTAACATTTTACTAAAATATGTTCTGTGATGAGTCTTTCGAGTACTTGAAAAAGGTTGGACAACAACCTAAACAAACCTCAACGTTACGTTGTTAAAATTAAAATATGTAATAGATAAATAATATACAAAAAATATAATACAAAAAAAAAAAAGTGAAACAAGAGATACACTCCATCAAACGTGCGCAAAATTAATTGTGTAAAGGTTTTTGTTGGTTGAAAATTGTTTGATGGTTGATAGTTGATGGTTTGAAGTTGGAAAAATTTTCAATTTAGATTTCAAATTCTGTTTGTTTACTTTGCAGAATAAAAGAAAAACAAGAAGAGTTTCACTTCATTGAATTTAACTGATATGTGAAGTTGTTGTCTGGCACACGACCAGAAAAACGAAAAAATGGAATAAAAAGGATTAAGCGGTGATATACACAACCATTTGGATACATCAGAAATACTTTATGGGTTGATGAGAAAAGTCTGCCGGAGACGAAATTCATAAAAAAATCTGAAACGGAGTATATCAAACCAAATGAAATGTATCAAAAACTGACAGTTAAGTTAACAAAAGAGAAACGAAAATATGCTGAGCATATCTGTGATATATAACTCTCCACTTATTAAATCAGGTGTTTATCAAATAAATATTGAATAATAACAGATAATTGAGAAATTCTAAATATTTTTAAAATAAGATCACTTCTACATGGTTGTGTAGCGTTTAGCAAAGCTTCAAACACTACTATTCGCCAGCTAGAAATTGCACAAAGCCAGGTTCTGAGAGGCCTTTTTAAAGTACCATGGTACATTAGGACGAATGACATCCTCAAGGCCCTCAAGAGTGATGTCATCAAAAAATACATAAAGGATAGAGCCCTGAAATTATTTGCGAAAACTGACAGACTTACCAACATTGCGTTATCAAATCTCAGAATAGTTACAGATTCCTCGGGTAGGTATGCAGATCTGAGGTCAATTATTGCTTAGTCTGATGAAGTGATAAACAATAATCCAGTCAAGGCGTAAATATTGTTTTTAAAAATACCTCGAGTTAAGAAAAAGTAAAAGTGCTCAAGTGCACTGGCTTAAATAGAAATAAATGTATAATAAGATTTTTTCGAAAAATTCTGTGAATTATATTATAAATAAAGTTTTTTAATTCTCTTTTAATATAGTAATTCTTTTATAGTAATTTTTAATGCAGTTAATCCTGTATTTTAAAATATAATTTGGCAATATACTATTTGTATGTATTCTATAAAATATATAAAAAATCTTTATAATCTTGGACTATTAAATCCATGTGGATAGAATGTTACTACTGGTTACTATCAATAGAGCAATATTCGTCTAGATTTCTGTATACAATGGATTCTATTATAATAGTCAGCGCTTACTCCTTTCACAGGACTCAAAAGATTTCGTGGATGATCAACTTTTCAGACTGTATTCGTAACTAACGACACTAAATATAAGCTTTTTGAAAGGGCTGCGAGCAAGTCTAAACCCTAATATAACTAAAACTGCAAATTTTTGTACACGAATAAAATGACTTCTTTCAAATTCCTTCAAATGCAGTGTGAAACTTTCAATGGTGTTAAATGTTTTTGGTACTCGGTAAAAATCATTAACTTTCCTCGAATTAAATAAAGTCTGCTCTCTAGTACACTCTGGCAAGGCTAAGTTAATAAAAGAATAGAAAAAAATTCACGGCGAAGTACCAGATTAAACTGAGGAGAAGTAAAAGTTGTAGAAGTTGTGGTAGGGTTAATAATTGTAAGAGTACGTGCAAAACTGAAGACATATTGAAGGTTGAAGGGTATATAAATCCACTAATTAGAAAAATAAAATATGATCGCAAAAATTATAGTTTGTATTTTAAATCAAAACTATTTACATCTTTATTAGTGTAAATGGCAATCATTTTAAATTATATGTAAGCAAATCGTTTAGAGACATCGTAGAACTGCTTGCTTTGATAGGACTATATTTTTAGAATTATATTCTGTCTTAAATAGTGTTATGAATTGGAGTAGTTCACCTCTGTTACATTGTAGTCATTTATTTAAGCTTTTCTGTTGTTCACTTGATTCACAAATATTTTTTTGGCTTTATTCCAGCCGTTGTCGACTAAAAATATATTTTATTCATTAAAAGGAGCTCACATGAGAATTAAAGGAAAAAAAGGGAGTTGAGTTTTGAGTTGAATGACAGAGCAGACCTAAAAATAAAAAAGGTGGAAGAGCCACATATCTCGTGTATTGCGGAAGATTTATTTAGCTGCAAAGCAAGGACGGTTATTTAACGGTAATAATTTATGATGCAACGCTAAAGGAAGACAAAAAGTAAAAGAAATTCGGAAAGCTGAAAAATAAACGGACATCCCTTGAGAGAAAAAAGTGAATTGATAAAAGTGACATTTTGTTTGGATTATTGTTTTTGTTGAATTGCTCATAAAGTGAATTAAAAATTTAAGGGCCAATAAAATCAAATAAAATTAATGAAAAACGCTTTTGATTGAAAAAAATTGTATGGGAAAAAAATAAGGATAATCGTTGCATTCAGTTTTTTTCGGTATTATTTAAAAGCGCAATGATTGGCGTAACATAAAATCACTCAAATAAAAAATTAAAGTTAAAACCTATATGGAATCCATTTCCATTTAACTCAGAATTAATTTATTTTTAATACATCTTCTTTATCATTCGATGTAGTTAAAATGCAATTTCTGTGGCTTAACGTTATGCAGTATTATTTTACAAAAAAAATAAGATGCATTAATTGCTAACCTTCGGAAGAATCAAAGTAATTGCAGTGCAATGCATAAATTCATAGAGCAATCGCAAACGCAGTTGCGCTCCAATTACAAATCCATTCAGCAAATGCGTTCAAATTGCATAACACCCATAAGTTCCATGGGAGTCATCACCTTGGAGCAGGTTTCGAATCATCGAAGTATTCAAATTACAAATATTTTCATAGATTTAGTTTTATAATCTGCATAGTTTCAATGCCGTAGATACAAACCGGCAAGGTGATTCGCTCAGCACGGGTTACACACCAGCATATCCGCGCATTGCCGATCGTGGCAAATTTATGATCATCTTGAATTGTAGAAGCGCACAAGATTTGGTGTAAAACTACTGGTAAAGTCAGGAAAATTAACATTTCACCAATCCACATATCAATAAATTAAAGCTTAGATTTTTTTGTTTGATGTTCTTTTTTAGAATTGTAAATATAATCATATATGGCGGTTTTATCGAAGTTTGAGTATCTTTGGCGTATATCACTTGTAATAAATGATTGCGAAATCCTAATAAATAGTACAATCACTCATATGAGATAAGAAATAGAGATTTAATCTGATCCCTATAGAATAATTTTAATTGCTTTTGAGCTCTGAAAGTATTAATGTATCAAATTAATTATAGAATTTTGTTTAAAAGAAGTACAGCAGCTTTATTGAATCTTAAATCTTTCATCGTAGTTATTAGATTATTTATGACATGATCATGCAAAGTTAATACGTTCAATATTAGCAAAATTGTGTTCTAAATAAATTTTATATATATTTATGTGTATATATAAAGTTAATGATTATACTCATTTATATGTATATCTATTTATATATAAATTTGGAGTATTAAAACTTTTGCAATAAGATCACATTGCAAAAAGTACTTAAGAGTACTATAAAGAAATTGGAACTAAAGTGTCACTTTGATACATATAATGCCAGCGAATTCTTAACTGTATCTGAACAAAAGTCTTCATATTACGTTAATCAATGTCTTGAAAATATAAAATCGTGCATAGAAATGTTACGTTCAAGCTCAGGAGAAGCTGTTCCAACTAAGGCTTATTGTATGTCTGTCAAACGCCATATAAAATACAAAATCGATAATAAATACACTAATAAATCAGTAGACATATTTCAGTTAATTAAGCCACTTATAATATAGATCAGCTATTGGCTACAGAAAGAAAGTTATTGGGTACAGAAACCGTTTTATATTTAATACGTAAACGTTTTGGGAAGTACCAAGCTATGTTCATATTGTTTAAGCGAAATGTAAATGTACATAAATTTTTGAGCCTAGAGATTGTTGTGTAAGACGAAAACTCATATATATAAGATGATTCTGATAGCAAAATCCCCTTAAAATCATGAAGACCACCTTTTTATATAAATATTGTCCTCTAATTTCTATATGCTTATGATATACTTTATCAATTTAGGAGCAGCTTAGAGTTAATAAACATTAATACTATTTTATTTTGTAGTTATCAAAAGATTTTAATGTCTTCAATACCTCTAGGTCTTGTGTTCCACTGGAAGTGGCGGTTGCAGTTAACAGAGAGTACGTTCTGCGAGCTAAAACCAGCACCCCATGCATTTAGAGCATTTCTCTAAGTCTAATTTCTACAATAAATTGTTTCATTGAACCTAATTTAACGAGTTGCCCATCTAGGTAAAGGAAGTTCATTATTTTATATGGTGACAACTGAACCTATGTTCTGAATTTGTTTTTATTTAGGTGGATATAATCCACAACTCGAATTATATTGAAAGTCCCTATAAATGACTTTGATTACATAATAGCTCAGGCAGATAATCACAGTGTAGCATCCTTCAGCAGCATCAATTATATCTAAGTCACAGAATGGTTCTGATTCTATTAGCAGCCAGATTTCTCATATCCTGACAAGTTTTTTGGAAGTCTTGTTATCTTGTTAACTGTGTTGCTTCGATATTAAAACCAATAAGATATTACTTAGTTTTATTATTTAATTGTATTTTATTCTAAATATGCAAAATTTGAAAAGACCTAAGAATATTAACTATTTCTATAATTAAGTCTTAAATAATAATTGAATATAAAATAATTATGACAATAACCCCCCCAATTAAAAAAAAAATTAAAATTTAATTTCTGCATTAAACGTACCTGATCTGGTCTTAGACCTGGTGGCACCCATGTGTACTCCTCCAATGCACAACCACTATCATCGTCAGAGTGCGAATGTCGTTGTATATCTAATTGTTGTCCCACTAAAAATGGTGCATGTGCAGAAGAGGGATGATGTAGTAATGATGGTGGTGATGGTGAAGATATAGCGGGTGATAGTTGGTGTGGCTGATGTGGTTGCTGATGTACATGATGTAGTGTCTGTTGATGTTTTAATGAAGAAGAAGAATATTTTGAGGTCGTTGATGATGCTGAGGCAGCTGGTGAATACTGTGGCTGTTGATTTTGATGATGCAGTTGCGTAGTTGAATGCGGTGTCGGCAAAGGCGGCATCGGCTGATGATGAGGCGGTAGATACTGATGATGCAATTGATGTGGCGGTAGCAACGGCAGTGTTTGTTGATGCTGAAACTGCCGCTGCAATGGTAATGGCGATGTAGGAGGTAAGCCAGTGGTATTTGAATTATATAAAGCGCTTGCTGAGGAACTACTGGCTAAGCCTGCAGCAATATTGCCGCCAGAATGTCTTAAACTCCCAAGTGCTGCTGCTGTTGCCGCATTGCCTGTTGCACCAGCTGTGTTAGGCGAGAAATGCCTTGGCAGTGTTGGTATTTTTTGCAAATATGATACTTGACTTAGAGGTGTACGACTGATGGGTCTGTAAGAAATAGAGAAAAAGCAATGAAAAATTAATTGAGGTTACTTTTTGTTGCTCTCATATCTGTAGTGTTTTTTTGCTGTTAGTTTGTCTATTATAGAGGAAGCAACTCCAAGACGGAAATTGGTTTTCGTTTCGCATTTTATATTTTGTAATTACTTTTTTTTTTGTTTTTAATTTCAAACATAAAAGGATTATACAAGTGTTCTTTTCTGCTTTTTGCAATTTGGTTTAAATACTCAAAGAGTTCGGAATGAGAACGTGTCTATGCTGCCATAACAAATTGAAAGTTAATTAAAACGTAAATGGGCTTGTCGCAATTGCAGGTTAAAGACTTTGAATCTCCGCACGTATAACGTCAAATGGAAATTGTAGAATTATTCTCGTATCAGGTATTAGACAGAAGTGAATTAATAGATTCAGCTTAAAACTAATCAATACAATGTTGAAGTAAATTCGCTTTAGGTACGTACTATGACTTAACTTGTTATGAAATTTAAATTTTCAATAGAAAAATAAAATCATGAGAACATTTTTCAGGTTGCAAAAATTAATGATTCTTGTTGTTAGTCAAAACTTTATTTTAAAGTTTTAATTGCACTTCAAATTTTAGGTGTGTAAATATATCAATTCGCATATTCATCAACTTGGACTTGCCATAGTTCTTACAAAAGGACCAAAACATGCAAATGCTCTGCATATCCTTCCGTTTCAAAAATTATTTGTAGTCATCATTTTCGATGTCTGCATAGAATTTTTTTTGTATTCGCGTTTTTTCCCATTTGACAGCTGTCAATATGGCTTTCTGTTCACTGTGGCATCACTGATGCAAATATTTTTATTATCATCAAACTGAAGCTTAACGCTTGAAAGCATTTTGCAACAATCTCGTGTTTGTTTTTGATACATTTGCAATCCAAAAAGCGCGATGGGTGTATGGGTGTATGGGTGTAACTGCCTCTACGCCCACATTCGGAAATACAATGTAGGGTTCCACGAGTACGCAAGAGAGGAGTGTCTGTTGTTCTACAGCTCGTACAGCAAAAATGCGGGCGAGTTACCAGCTTTAACGGAAAAAATTCGTTGTTTGCTCGAAACCCTGTTGCAGTTTTATTAATTCTAGTTCGCTTGGCATTTTGTGATGTGTCAATATTGTTGCTGGTGGTTTTCGTGGTTTTGATGCAATTAATTGTGGAATTCATTTCAAGCGTAAATTTAATAAAAATAAACACTGCTTAAATAAATACCATTTTAACATTTTAATTGCTTCAGTCCAGCACAGGTGATGCCTTTCTTAATTGATATAATAAATATTAAAGCAAACAGATGGAGTGCCTTCATTTGATAAATAAAGCAAAAATTGATTTAAATTCATAAATTTTTAATATTAAATTTAAGCTTTAAATTTATTTTTCAGTAAGCAATAAAGATACTGCTTATTTCTTACTACTAAAGATTTCGTTGATTTTCATTCTATGGCTGATCATGTTAACTACAGTGTTCACCTCTTTTCTAAGGGTATAACCAATCTATCCGATTTCCTCTTCTAGCTTCTAAATAGTTTGTTTTTATTAAATTTTTTAAGGTATAATTGGATGAGATTTGATGTGTAGTATATATCTCACACATAAAAAGTGATATCCAGAACAGTTGAGAAATTAACTGGTGGTGTAGGCCTGGGCTGTCCAAGCCAGATGAGATCGCGGGCCAATACAAATCATTGGACAAATTGGAGGGCCGCAGAAACAAATACATACATTCATAGCTGTTTTCGACAAAAATAAAAATACGGTTATATTGTTAAATTAAGTTTTATTAATTTATCAATTTAAATTCATTTATTTGGTATACCTTTAAAATAAAATAATGTAGTTTTACCAGTAATCCAAAACAAAATTTGCGTAATTGTAGTAGATTAAAAACATGTCGCGAGGCGCACAAACATTACCCGCGGGCTGCATGTGACCCGCGGACCGTACTTTGAACAGCCCTGGTATAGACAATCAGATTTGATATATTTGTACTATTTTAGTTTTGTTTTTTTGGTTGACATTTTGGTTTAAACTAAAAAATTTAATTGGATAACGTTTCTGGTAAATATACTACTGCAACTTTATTAAAGCTTAAGTTCTTTTGCAACTAGTTATTGTACTTTTGATCACATTAGTTCGAAATATCTTTGAGATATAATAGTTTCAGGCGAGATGAGACCACAAATATAAAGAAGATTAAATAAGAGGCAATTTATTTGGGATGTAATAGTTTAAGGCGAGTTGAAACCACAAATATTTAGAAGTATAAATAAGAGGGTTATTAATGAAGTCATTTAATACGCTTTATAACTGTGTAAAATTGTCTGCAATAGCTATAATAAGGAACTTAAGGCATTGGAACTCTATATATCAATAGCTTCCATGCCGTCTTAATTTAGCTCCTTTTTATTACTTTTTCCACACATATTTCTATCATCTGGCAATAAGTAATTTATTAAGCATACACGCTTAATATTAATGCAAATTAAAGATAGCACAAAATTATTTACAGTGTACTTATTGCCATGTACTTCAGTCGGAGTACCTTTGAAAATACCATAAAAATAATTTCAGAAAATCAGTAAAATTTTTCATAAGCACGTGCAGGCCAATAAGTGCATTCTTAATGTTGGGCAGCGAGAAGGCTTGGAATCGGTTTGGAGTCGACTTGCAGTTGACTTGAAGTTGGTATAGCGCAGCGGGTAATTCTCAAATAACAAATCATGCAAATTTCATTCATGCAGTCACAAAGTCCGTGCGAATTTACGACCAGCTGAGCGGACGAGATGAAGTGCTGCCTTTATTCGCAGTGTCAAATCAACTTTGTTCACCGTAAAAATGTGGCCAAACGTACTTCATGCAAATTTTCTGCAAGGAAGAAAACTGAAAATAATACAGCAAATAAATTCAGTATTAAAATATAAAGAAAAATCTCATACACCGTCGGACAAAAAATTTCGAATTATATTAAAGGCTAAATAACATGAAAAGCTCATATCAGAAATGCATTTGTGCTCGCAAGTTCAGATGACGTGGCAATAATTCCATCAAGTTTCGAGTTTTACGGTCTCAAAATCAAATTTCATTAATCAATTCTGTATCTCAGCATCTCATGAGAAATTCGCTATTTTTATGATTTTTCCAGTTTTATCTCAGCTAAGAGCTTTGTTTGGGATTTGCTTTGCTTAAGCGTTAAATTCTCGTAATTTGTAATTTAAAGCAGTGCGAAATATGAAACGTGACAAGATCGCAATCGAATCTGCAAAGTATTTGCCAGATTGAAGTATAAATTGTGCATTGTGCAAAAATTTGTGTCAATTAACTAATAAAATATTTTTTTTTTGCTTAAAGACATAATAGTTCTGCAAAGTTATCTGCAATAATCTATTTTGGTTTGAAATTAGTTTAATTTTCACATTTCAATTGAAGTCGTAAGTAAGTAATTGGCAATTGAATCGAATTCAAATGGAGCTTTCTCCATTGCTCATGGGTTGAAGAAAATTAGCTGGTATGCCTTTAATTTGAAGGATTGAAAATTAAGTGAATTAGATTGATTTCAGTTTGTTTGAGTAGTTATTATAGGAATTAGATATCATAACTGATATCTAATTGCTAATCAATTACAAGACATAGTCAGGGGATTAACTGGACTATTAAAGCTGATTATCTGTTTAACGAATACAAACGAAATGACTGATACTCATAAACTCTATTATCTTACGATTAATTTTAAAATCTAGTACATTTAATAAAACTTGGATACCAATCATGTCACATCATTAAATCAATTTTAGTCAAGTGGTGATCAATTTTAAAACAATGCAATCAGTTAGATTTGACTTTTCAGAAGTTTAACTGCCTTTCACATACATATGTACCTATATAACATAGAAGATATGATGCATATTATACTTCATATAATGTGTGATTTACATGTCTATGCACATATAAAGTAATATACATGTGTTTAGAATGTAGAGTATATAGATTATATTGATTTCAAATATCTCAAAAATAACTTTTTAAACTCTTAGAAGACTTAAAAGACAAAGTGAGTTGTAAGAAGACCCAAAAGATATAGAAAGAAGACATGTTTGAGGTGTGAGAAGACCCAAAAGACAAAGGAAAAAGATATATTTGAGGTATAAGCTAAAGTTATTGTTTTATCAGGACCAAATAATATTGATTTTAAGTCTCAAAAACTAATGCTAAAGCCTTTGTTTTGCAATTTCGAGACTCGTTATGGACTTGCCATAAAATTTTCTAGTTACGTTTTTCAGTTTATCGGCAATCTTTGGCCACAATTTCTGGTGTTGATGCAAGTTTTGGACTTCTCTTACGTGTGTCGCCATCAAAGATAGTAAACTCTCTTTTAAACAAATTCCATATACAAAAAAGTCATTGCTTTTAAGAATCAGATTCAAACCACACACATACCTTTTCGGTTTAAATATTCCATTAACACGTTTACTTCAAACTTCTTATAAATGCAGAATAAATTGATACATAGAAATAAAATTTTGACTAGGTTCTTATAAATAATAATATAATAAAATATTGTCGAAATAATAGTTCTGCTCTTGAGGAGGAGATGGCATTTTGTGATCATATAGATAGTATGATGAAATTACAAGTCTTATATATTTCTATAAAAAGTTTTCAAATTCAAGAAAACAAAAACTCACACAAAAATGCTTCAAAATATACAAAAAGAAATAACCCACTATTTAGTATTCAATACTCAGTATATCATAGTATTGATTAAAATAGCAGTAATAACAGAGTTTGATTAACTTCCTCTGAATATGCGAAATTTGACCTAAAATTTAAAATTGTAAATTAATAATCTTATCCAATCTATTTGATCTGAATCAATTAGTTTTCCATAGAGGTCTAAGCTGTTTCCGTTTCAGATCAACATTATTAATTATGATAATTAATTTGACTTCAAGTTCCAATTGAAACTCA